AGATCTGACCGTCATTAACGACTAGAAAGTCGTAGATTTGGCTAGAAACGGTCATAATAGATCTAGCCATTTTCAGCTAGCTCTACGACTATCTGGCCGTTTCCGGCCATCAATATGGTCTGAAATTGCCATATCAACTCACAGTGGCCATTTTTGGTGACTTTCGGCAGCAGTTGGCTAGTTGCCGGCGGTGGTGGTCTAGGTGGCCTGTAATTTGTTTTAAATATAAGGTCATTATTGTCCAAAAACTTAATTGAATAGGGGTAAAATTATAATGCCAGATTAATGTAAATTAATTTCAAAATAAGGGCATTATTGTCTAAAATTTTTATTAATAAAATAGGTAAAATTGTAACAAAAAAAATTACCAAGTAATCTTAAAATACCTAAAAAAATGAAGATAATCATCATATATACCTCTTATATTACCAACAGTAACTACTATTGGTTTTGGAAGATTACCAGAATCTCATATTACTTGACAACCAAACGTGGTAATCAAGTAATAAAATATGACATTACCACAGTAATTGGGGATTACCTCCAACTAAACACGCCCTTAGGGAAATTAGGCTTTTAAAGAGGGGTACAATTATAATGAAGTTAAAGACAAAATTGAATTTTAAAATTTCAGGGGATTTGTCTATAACATACGTCTGTTGGAATTTATAGTCTTATATATACATAATATAAAGATAGGTTGACCAACACTTCTTACAACTGTCTCTCACAAACGCTGACGTGACAGCTCACAATTGGTCAATTTGCATTTGGTCAGGCGAGACCTTTTGCAAACTAATTAATTACGAGCTGACACGTCGCGTTTGTAAGGAAAAGTTAATGAAAATGATTTATGAGTGTAAATATATTTATAGATATATATTCTATATATATATTATATATTATATATATATAATTTATATATATATATATATATATATAAATCAACCCCGATACAAGTGGATTTCTCACTCATAGTGGATATAAGTAAATTACATAGACCATAATCTTATTATATTATGACATGAATTATAAATATTTTTAGAGTAAATGACTTTTTCCCACCCAAGGGTGGCCTAATGACATTCCTACATCAAAAAGTTTCAAAATACAACTATTACCTAAATGTTATGTTTCGTTAATAATTTTGTTAAATACAGTTATATCATTATGAAGATGAAAATACCCTTACTATTTGACTTAATTTTTTTATTTTTTTTTTTCATATCAACAGAGTCAATTACTAATATACCCACTATTTAAATATAAAATTACTGATATTTAACTTACCAATTTGTCCTTCCATTTTTTTTATTAAAAATACTGTTAATATAAAATATGAAAAAAAACCCTGATTGTTTTTGCTTTTATTTTCCTTTCCCTTTTTTCTTCTTCGTCTTCTTCCATCTCTTCTCCTCTTTCTTAGTTCTTCTCCCTTTCATTAAATTTTCTTCTCTTTTTCTTACATTAGTTCTTCTCATTTTTATTTTTATTTTAAAAAAATTTCTTCTCAGTTTACAACCCAAAACAAACATCAATCCATTATACAACCAACAACAATCAATTTCCCATTCAATTTGAACCCAATCAACGGACAAAACAAAACAACACATGCTACAGGCGACGAAGTTGTGACCGATGTCATGTGCACATGGGCCCAGTTGTTGGTTGCTTATTAATTAATCTAGTAGAGTCCAAAGTCTAGTTGAGTTAGTCTGATTATGTGGGTCCAAATAATTGTACATGGGCATCAAGTTAAGACGTGTTCTTAATCCGTTGATTCATGGCAAATATTTTGGCTTAAGAATAGGTCTACAGGTTGGGTTGTTAGCTGAATATCAGTGTCATATTTATGCTATTTTTACTGGTTGAGTCCTTGAAGTCCGGTCAATTGTTATTTCTAGTTGTATTTAAGTCTTTCATGTTAATAAGAAAGGTATCAAAACAGTTGCAATCAATGAGTATTGGAGGCTGTGGATTTCCTCGAATTAATCCAACTCTTTCTTCTAGCGTGAACTTGACAACCGACATTCGGCGAGCAATCAATCTCCAGAGTGATGGGGGTTTTGTAGGGGAAGGGCTGATGAGTCTGTGGGTGGTGACAGGAGCGATTTTGGCAGTCGATAACAACAGGAACTACTATGGCTTCAGGTTGGATCTGAGAAAGAAAACATTAAGGAAAGAAAGAAAAGGATGAAAGGGAAAAAAAGATTAGAAATATGTGAAACATTATCATGTTTTTTATAATTTTAACAGTAATAATGCTTTATGAGTGATTCAAAACATTTAAGTTAATAAATTTACAATAAAATTTTGTTGAGTCAAAATTCTAAATACATATTGTAAAATATAAAGTCTCTTTTTTTTTTGGTTTTTTTTTTTTAAGTTTGAGTAGATTCAATATGAATTTAAGCGGGGTCAAAATTGTAAATACTATAAACTATAAATTTTTTTTTTTTTTTTAAAGTTTGAGTATGTTCAATTGAATTCATATGTTATAGTGTAGCTATGTCATTATTCACACTCCACGTATTTCTACTCTAAAGATTTTTTCATGACAAATTTTCATGGTGACATCCTTCTTATATGTTAATTCCTAATATATATCTCAATTTGATTTCTACAAAATATGACCTGTATTCGACAAATATAAATGCAGATATAATTGTTCTACAATTATTCTATCAATTTATATGTGAAAATATATACACCCTAGTCAAGCCAACGATTATTCCTGTAATTTGTGTGTAAATACACACAAACGAATAATAGGAGGGGGAGTTAGGAAAAAGAGAATGCCACATTTCTAGAAAATTCCCAAATTGAATTCTCACTTTTCCAGAAACAATGAAAGTGGGAATTCACATGCAATTGTTTAATTTCTCTTTTGGAATTATGCAATTTTACCCAACTCAAATAGAAGTGAAAACGATGAATGTGAATGGGACCCTTATGAATTTCTAAAGCTTACGGCATCACTAAGCACAGAGCACGCTTCAAAAATGAAAATGGTCATCGCAAATGGGCAAGTAAACAAAGGTCTCAACTCCCCACAGAAGCATAATCACCCAGAACCGCCCAACGAAAGAAATAAAATGGGCTACCTAGTGCTCCATTATCACTATGTTTCCCACACTTACCAAACATTCAATAAGGTTTCCATTTGTAGTGGACCCATATTGTATCATGCACTATAGTTTTAATATTCATATAAATTATCATTCATTCACCTTTTAAGGTTATAATAATATAATTAAGTACTCTATAATTTTGTACTATAAAATAGTTTATTTAATTATTCCTAAAGTTATAAGAAAACAATACAAAAACTTTTGAAATCAAAAAGATTGTGTTAACCCGTAAATAAACTTACCACCATTTATTATCACAACTTGATGATAATTATAGGTGTTAATTAAGTCCAAAGGCCAATTGCCGAGGGAGTGAGCAATGCATCAGCTTCAGCAGCCGCAATACGAAAAGGCTGCGGAGGTCGTGACTTTGTTTTCTCACTGCAAACACAATCTTCCATCTTTTATATATTTATATAGAGTAAACTACTTTTTTCCACCCAAGGTTTGCCTTAATAATTTCCCACCCAAAAAGTTTCAAAATATTATTTTCCCACCCAAAGTTTATATTATGTTTACTACCATGAATACACCTTCTGATTTGACGACCAATGATGAGCAAATTCGGTTCAAGACTATTGGGGCTTTTGAAAAGGGAATATCGGTGAGTCTTTTAGTGATGGCATGTTGGATTTTGGTGGTCGAGATTGCTCGAAATCTGACTTGGAGAGGGTAGTTACACGTTTTACAAATCGCTTTATTGCCAACGATTGGCAAGGTCGACAAGAGTAAGGTTTTAGGGGTATTGGTAAATAATAATTGGGAAAGAGAATGGTGGTGATGTGAGGTCACAAAGATGTCGGAATCGGCCAGTGATTGGTTGGAATATAAACTTTGGGTGAGAAAATGGTATTTTAAAACTTTTTGGGTGGAAAAGTGTCATTGAGGCAAACCTTGGGTGGAGAAATGTCGTTTGCTGATTTATATACCCATTATAAATAGTTCAACTGTGTGTGTATTAGTAAAATTGAAAGCAAAATATTCTATTTGTTTTTACACTTTCTGATAATGCTCCGTGTGGGATAAAATAAATTTGGTTTTGCACTTTTTCATTAATATCATGAATTATAAGATATCATTTTAGTTAATGAAATAAATCTAATAATGTATGAGCATGGTTTTAATAAAATTTATATCAAGGCGTTTTGACTAAAAATGACTGATATAAATCGTAGTATTTTGTAAAATTTTAGAAATATTTTACATCCAATATATTTGATGCTTTAAATCTAAATTTTTTATGTATATTAATAGTATTTTGACAAGATTAATAGAGATAAAAAGTCAAAAATAGATTTATCACTCGTAGAAATTTATACAAATAGAGGAATAAAATATACATATACCCATTTATTTCTATTTCTAATGAAACATCCATAATTTCTTTTGCTCTAAATGACAAATATGTCTTTTTATATATCACAAAAGTTTATAATTGCTGATATTTTATACAAATATTTTATTTTATTCACCAAAATAACCACTCTTTGCACCACAATTTATTTTTTGTAATTTTGATTTTATAAATTATCCTTTGAGCATTATCACACAAGTTTACATCAAAACAACTATGAAAATATTAAATATTATATATATATAAACTCCTACCTATGAAAATTAAATAAAAATAAATTTTATTTTTCTAATTGCTTACTTGTGTAAGATTCCGCCCCTTTTATATTTTTTTATCCATTAAAATCTTTTCATATCTTTTATATGTTTATATATGTGCATCGTCTATCCAAACTAATGACTAATGAGTAGTTTTCAAAACGACGATGGCAATACCGTCATTATACTGGAGTACTAAAGGCTAAATTCGTCATTCCACTTCTACACTTGACACTACTTAAAACGTGAATGCTTCAGCAGAAACCCACCACTCTCTGTTTCACACTCACACTCCACCAAACAAAACACAAAGCCATGAACAAAAACACTTCACGTCCTCTCTTCCTTCTCCCGTTTCTCTTATTCTTGTTTTCCCTCAGTTTAATCTCAGCCCTTAATCTCAATCCAATGCCATCCTTCGATTTCATCCCCAGCCCTGGCTCCCAACCCCTAACCAACGACTCAGATTTCATCCGCTCCAGCTGCAACTCAACTCTCTACCCGGACCTCTGCTACGCGTCGTTGGAAGGCTACTCCAGCTCCGTCCGAGAGGACCCGGCGCAGCTGGCTCGTGTCGCCATCGGCGTCAGCTTGAAGAAGGCCAAAGCCATGGCGTCCTACGTGGCCAACGTCAGCCGCGAGGCCGACTACAGCTCCGACCCCCGGGTGTGTTCGGCGCTCCATGATTGCCATTCGAACTTCGGCGACGCAGTGGAGGAGATCCAGGGGTCGCTGAAACAGATGCGACACCTCGGCGCGGCGGGGAGCTCGAAGGAGACCCTCCGGTTTCTGATGAGTAATGTGCAGACGTGGATGAGCGCGGCGTTGACGGACCAGGAGACGTGTACGGACGGTTTCGATGACGTGGCGGACGGGCCAGTGAAGGCGGATGTTGTTGATAGGGCGGCGTATGTGAAGAAGCTGACCAGCAATGCCCTTGCTTTGGTTAACAGTTATGCTGAGAAAGAAATGAGTTGATGTAGAAGATGATGATGATGATGTTGGTGAAATGTTAGGTGGTTTAGGGCCATTGGATGTTGGTGAGTTAGATAGAATTAGTGTATGAATGTTAAGGTCAAATTATATATAATACTCTCTATATATATTTATATTTTTAATTATGATTAATATTTATAATTTTTATGTATGCATTTATGTATGTATGTATTAGGAAGAAAATTGGATGTTAATTGTTGAGTTGAGCGGAATTGACTGAGTTAGTTTGTTATGTGGTTGTAAATGTTTTAAGTTGAGACTGGCTTTTGTTTTTGGTTGGAAGTTGGAACCGAGTTTAGTGAGTTGAACTCCGAGTTAACTGACCTGTCTTTGGTTTATCTGTTAGTGTCTCTCCTTTTTATCAGCTTTCTTTTTCCTCTACTTTTTGACCATGTTTTAGTTTACAAATGTTAAATCTCGCAAATTAACCATAATTTAACTGATAAACTACCATTATTTCAAGTCAATGAAGTAGGTTTAGCTGAGTTGTATAACAATTAACCATCTACTCTCCACGAATATGAATTTTGCGAATTCATTTTTTATATTTTAAAAATATTGAAAATTATTAAAAAATAAAAACGTTAAAGAATCACCAACACAATCAATAAAACGTCTTTACATTACCATGTATTTTGTTTGTCTCAAAGAGTTTGTTTCGAACATATATCAAACAGGAAATGCGTTTGTAAATGAAGAAAACCTTAAATTTGAAGTGAATTCATAACCTTTAATTCAAACTTAATGCAAGAATTTTCTTTTAATTAACATTTAATTTAATTCATGTTAACAGGGCGTCAATTTTTGTTTTGAGCCAACTGCCAAAGGAATCATTTTTCACATTAAAACTGATTGTTCTGAACACCATTATTTATCATGTCGATTAATGATGCTCTTAACGTGACCCTTGACCTCCAGGGCCCACACCAATCTTTACCGACCACGATAGGATTTGGTGGTTGGTTGTTTGATCGATCGAACCGCCAGGATTTTGTTTGATTTCCCGGTGATCGCTCTGACCTGTAAGAACTCGTGAAAAATTAGTAAATGGGAAAAATGAATTAAAGGTATAAAGGTTATGTGAATGAGGCTGGCTTGCTTACTTTAAACATGCTTTTGTTGCTAATCTTTGATTAATTAAGCTTAATTATAAAGCAATATGTCACGTTGATGACTCTCGTTAATATTCGGTCAATTAATTACCTTTGACTCTGCTACATTATTAATTATCCTTCCACATTTGGATTTTATGCTTTTAAAGTAAAATTTGTCTAAATTAATTGAGATTTTATATGTTTAGAATTAGGTCCAGTGTGAAAAAAATATTTTTATAATATAATATTTGTCTGAATTAATATGATATAATATTTATTATTATTTGTTTTCATTTCATGAATTGTCACGTTGCAAATAGCAACCCTTTTATTTTGGTCGGCGAATAATAATTATTAAATTTGCATATGATGCTTATATGTTGTTTGGTTCTTGGTTTAATAATGCTTAATTAACAATGGAGGAGTTACCCTCTTCTAATTAATTAATTAAAACTAAGGAATATGTTTTGTATTATTCCCAAGATGTATATAAAAACAAAGAATTATAAAATTGATATTTTGGCACGTGATTTGGGTTAGGGTTTTATGTATATTAATTTTGATACGTAACTAACATTTTAATTAAAATTAACTATTTATAGTTAATTTAATCAAACAAAACCACATACAAGTCATAGGTGATAGCCTCTTCTCAACAAGAGAAGAAACAAATAATTCACTCTTAATTTACGTAAAAAATTAGATTATGATTCAAATTAAGTCTACCAAATGAGATTATTTTATGGGCTAATAATTGAATTCATTCATAATTTCGCTGGAAAAAACATGCCTAATACATCAATATCAACGAGTCCCTAATAATTTTATAATTTCAAGAGTCTATGACTAATATATTTGAATAAAAATTTATAGTATGATATTACATGAAATAAAATGATTAAGTGTTTTTTTTTCTTTCTATTTTTAAATCTGTTTTTTCATGTATATAACATGGAAACCCTATCTCATCAACATTATATTATGATAATTTAAAATATGAACAACCATGAATATGTCGTATTATACCTATTAAATACGTGATATCTAAATTTACTGTTCATTAATCTCAAATTATCTACAAAGTATCGATTTAATCGCTCTTGTTAAATGTCATTAATTAGTCATTTTAGTCCCAAGAAATTAGGCTTAGCGAAACAAAGCATGCATTTGAATCATTTGATGAACAAGAATTGATAGCATAGAGTTAGCAGCCATGATTCAATTTGAACCAGAGAAAATGAAAGCGATGGTAGCACATAATAGAGAGGTAAATTGTCTTGATTTGTAGCCAAAATTTGGAGTTATTTATGAGACATAATCTGCCCGTGAAAGGAATTGACTTGCAGAGAGATGGAAATGGCCAATGGGACAAAATATAAGTTATTGTCGTATTAATTTATTTAAATGTTTGGTAAGGGAAACACACACGAGAGTTCTATTCTTGTTCCACTATTGTTTTCAAGTGCTCACGGGATCAATTTTTGCTTCTTCTTGCATATTCTATGGTCCCAAACTCTAATTCGACAAATATATTGCATGGATGAGCTGTGTTTTCATGCTTGAAATGAACTTGAATCTCTGTCATCCCCTTTGGATCTCGGTATCGCGGAATCAATAATTTATTCATCCTTACAAATTATTTACGTTAAATCAAATTATTAGTAAATGTCAGTTAATAGAAGTTAAGGAATTTAAGACTTAATAATACATTTATTAATAAGTTATAACAACAATATTTTAAATCCTATTTGTTACTAAATATAATAACAAAGAATATAAATTTTTTAAAGAATTATTAATTATTAAAAAAGTAGTTTTTTTATAAGTATTAATAATATTGATATCAAGTTTTGAAGAAATTATAAAACAATACTATTAAAATAGAAAATGCATTAAACATGTTAATTTAAATGTTAAAATCAATAAAAATATTTTTTTATCATTATTCATAATTGCCCCTACTCATAATTTTAAAATCTTAAAATAATTCTTAATTAATTTCATAACGTACTATTTATAGCTCACGAATTTGAGCAAGACTTGAGAATAGATGGGTTCGCTGGCCCGGATTCTGAGTTTTTGTTTACTCAGGCCCATTAAGAGTTTGGGCCTTCCTCGACTCCCTGATGCTGTTGTTTAATTCATATTTTTAATTTCCCCTTTTAGATTTTTGTTACTACATATATTTAAATACTCCATCTTATCAGATTTTATGGGATTTTACGAGAACAGCATGAAAGAAGTCTTAGTATATAAAAAAAAAATGGCAGGTTTTTAATTTTTAATTTGTCCTTTGCTTTATTTTACATTAGAAAAAAAGATTTAAAAAAAAAATGATATTATTCAACCTCAAACCCATTTAAATGTAGCAAGCAACATCGAGGCCTAAGAATTAATGGGTACTCGAATCCTAAGAGCTAGTAACCGCCAACATGCTCATATTGGTGAAGTTATTGTAGCTGTGAGAAAGGAATTAACAGCACCAAATATGCCTTTACAAATAGCCGAAGTGATCAGAGTTGTAATTTTACGTGCTTGTAGGGATATGTAACCATACTATAATATATGAGTTCAATTGAACCCATTCAAATTTAAAAAATAAAATAAAAAGAAAAGCTTTATATTTTATAGTATTTATAATTCTGACCTCACTTAAATTCATATTGAATTTGAACCTACTCAAACTTTGAAAAAAAATTAAAAGAAGGTTTTATATTTTATAATATTTATAATTTTCACCCCCACAAAATTTTAGTGTTTAGTGTAAATTCATCAACTTAAATGTTTTGAACCTATTCATTAAAAATCATGACTTCGTCCCTATGTAGTTAAGATTAGGCACGTACCCACATACAAAGGTGTGGGTTCAATTGAACCCACTCAACTTAAAAAAAAAAACAAAAAAGTCCTTGGCTCCGTTTGGTTCATAATTTTGTGTTTTTGAGAAATTTTTTTTGAAAAAAGTTAAAAAAAGTTGAATTGGGCAGGTATTACGATGTAGGATTTACAAATTAATAAAATACTCCCTATGATTTTTTTTTTACAAAACACCCCTATAATAAAACATTAAAAGTTAACAAAAACACCCCTAACCCACCCTCAAATACGGACAGCTGGCCACCACCGCCGGAAGGTGGCCGGAGTTGCCTTATCAGCACATGATCAACTGGATCTTGCTGGTCGTGTGTCGATATGGCCTTTTCCGGTCAGATCCACGGTGGATCTGACCGGCAAAGGCCAGATCTACAGCTAAATCTGGCCGTACTTGCTATTCAACAACGGCCAACAAATGGGCATCATTGATGGTCAACGACGACCGTTTGTTAGCCGTCGTTACCGACTGGTTACGGCCAAAGATTTGGCCATCAACGACCAGATCTTTGGCCTTATATCTGGCTTTTTCCGGCCAGATCCACCGTGGATCTGGCCGGAAAAGGCTAGATCGGTACACTACCGGCCAGATTCAGCCAGTAGTACGCCATCTTACTAGATTCCGACCATTTTCCGGCAATGGTTGCCGGAATCTTGTAAATGTGGATTATTGGGGTGTTTTTGTAATTTTTTAAAAAATATTTAGGGGTATTTAATTAAATTAACAAATTTAGGGGGTTTAAAAAAAGTTGAATTATATTAAATAATATTATGAGTTTTTGGGTATTTTACTGTTTAACTTTTTTGAGAATACTACAAAATGCAACCAAACGAAGCCTTTATGTTTTACAAAATTTACAATTTTAACCCCACTTAAATTAATTTTGAACTCACTCGAACTTTAAAAAAAATCATAAAAAACTTTATATTTTATAATTTTGACCCTACTTAAATTCATATTAATCACACAAGATTTTATTGTAAATTTACTAACTTAAATGTTTTGAACCCATTTATTAAATTTCTTGGCTATGTCCCTGCTTAGGATAGTAACCTCATATCATTATCCGAGTCCATGAAGTACATGATGATGTTGTCCATTAAATCAAGTTCATGGAGAAAAGAATTTGCCATATCCCATATCCAGTACATTTCCAACCTTTCACTAACAATCAGCTTCTTGAATGGTAAAAGAAAATGGCGAATCACTGAAAGGCAGTACTTGTTCTGTTTTGCT